ATCTGGTAGGAGTGTAGCTTGCCCACTGATACTCACCTTAGAACCTGCAGATGGTCAGCTGAAGAACTCACTTTTATTTCTCTAGAAAACCAGGTTGTTTGGTTTTAGTAGAGGTTTTACAGCGCTCGCAACTGCATAAGGTCATATGAGCGCCAGAAGTTTAGAGGTGTTACAAGAGAGTAACAAACATAAAAAAGAAGAAGGGGAGATCAGGACGATATATGTTTGATAGGAAAGAAGAAGCAAACCACACCAGAGCACCCGCCAACCACCCACAAAAACCAGGTTGTTGGGCGGAGATTGATAGATAGATAGATAGATAGATAGATAGATAGATAGATAGATAGATAGATAGATAGATACACTGGAAAAAAGACAGACAGAGAGAGATAGATAGAGATATAGATAAAGAGAGAGAGAGCAATACGTGTGTATATGTAATATATATCTGTGCGTCTGTGTGTATGTTTGTAAGAGTGTATGTGTGTATGTATGTGTGTGTGTATGTGTGTGTGTGTGTGTGTGTGTGTGTGTGTGTGTGTGTGTGTGTGTGTGTGTGTGTGTGTATTCTAACACTCACCATGTGGCCGGCCTTGAGAATCCAGTAAAACTCCATGTTGTCCAGCTTTTTCCCAAAGAAGCAGACCCGCTCCCCGGGGCAGCGGTAGGCACGCCTCTCCGCGGCCTTGAACTTTGGGAAGATGTCCATGGTGCTGAACCACTTCTCCGTGCCTGTGGTGAGGGTGTGGGGGTGAGAGGGTGTAGGGGTGTGGATGGGAGGGTGTTTAGTTTAATTTTACTGAGGTTTTACGGCGCTCGCAACGGTATAAGGTCATATGAGCGCCAAGGGGTGGATGTCAACAAAAAGGCATGTAGATTACCATTTCTAGAGCGCTTACCCTCAAACAACACGGCTCTTCCTTGGCGTTTCAACTTCAACGTTGTTTCTTCGATTCTTAGTTTTTTGGGCGTTGTACTTGTCCTAGTACTAATTACTAAATAACCATTTACAGGATTGTTTAAAGTCTGTGTATTTCAAATATGCTGTTTTACAGGAAAGAGGGGGCATGAAGACTGCCCAGTGTAAGACTCCATTCATTATACAGACTTCAACATAAGTTAGGGACTACCTTGATAGACATCCCTGATTTGTATTTAAAAAATTAAGTTGATTTAAATTAAAAAAAACTGATTTAAATCAACCAAACCCTGCTTGTTTCCCACGTAGGCTACCGTATCCAATGTTCCAATTTTTGCTCTGAAAATGTTAATGGATTACCAATGCGTAATGCAAAGCTTCCTCAAAGGGCAAAACCACCACGCGCAGCACGGAAATTCTCGGAGAATTCGCTGATTTTTTTTTTCGACTTGTGTGCACCATCACGGGCATTTCCTCAGTTAAAATTTCTCCTGCACGTATGGTCTCGAACTGGGCTCACTTTGGTGGCAATTATTATAAGCCACCGTTTGCGCAAAATCCAGTATCGCATCAACATGCCACCGAGACGAAAGCTGAGAGACTTTGATCGTGTCAGAGCTATGGCATGGCTGCAGGATGGAGTTGGAGCCCCAGAAGTTGCCAGAAGACTTGCGGTGTCATACTCTGTCATTGTCAGCCTGAGGCAACGCCATCGCGCCACTGGATCAGTCCAAGAACGCTCACGTGCAGGTCGACCCATGAAGACCACTCAGAGTGTTTGCAGGTGGTCCTTAACTTATGTTGAAGTCTGATAATATTATATACGTCAGTTTTTTTAAACAGTGTATGGCGGAGTCTTATACTGATCGAGCAGTTCCGCTACTTTAGAATTACCGTATTACAAAGTTCTATCTAAAATTTTTGACTGTTTTGAGTAACTAGGACCATAATATATGAGGTCATAAACCAAAAGTTCTATCTGCTCTATCAAAATCGTAAGATTATTCGATCGGAGTCTTTATCCAGATATTGCATTTGGAAAAAGCCTGACGTGCTGTCAAACTCAAAAATTGTACACGTCAAATTTCTCCAAACTAGTAGGCCTAATTGAGACGATAGAACTTTGTAGTTCTGAGTTAGCGTAGTATTTAGCACCTTACCTGTCCCCGTCGTTTTAAACAAGAAAAGGTTTTGAAATTATGCAAACTGGGCCCAAAAATGTGAAATTATGCGATTCTGTTAATTTTAACAAAGAATAATGAAGGAAAACAATCAGAGATTATGCAAAAAATCGATCAAATTTTGCAAAATTATGTGGGGTGCATAAAACCACGGTCACAGACTTACCCAGAACGTCACAAATGAGATCCAGCTGACCGCTGTAGATGATCACTTTGAGGTTGCCTTCGTTGATTAGTTTGTTGACTGGAAAATAATTTATATATATATATATATATAAAAACTGGTGTAATATTAATAGCGCAAATGACGAAAAAAGGAAAGGAAAAGTAAGCGCATGGGTTTAACGCCCCTATCAACACTATTATAGTGTTAGTGAGACGTGCTGACAAAATGAGTTACTTCTCGTAATCCACAAATGGAGATATTGGCCAAAAATCGACATTAGGGTCAAATTTGTAGATTTTCTATTGATGTCATATTCTTTAACTATAACCTGTTGTTTTTGTTTGTTTTTTTCATACTTATAAATTGTAAATATTTCACCTGTAAGCGTGATACATCTATTTTCTTAAGGTCTGAATCCGAGAAGTAATTCATTTTGTCTACTCGCTTCACTATTTAAAAGACGAGACGTCTCCGATAGGGCCTAGCCAGATGCGTTGAGAGCCGTAAAAACTCCTCTAAACGACCTAATCTGAGTACACCCAGTCTGGGATTCGAACCACGGCCATATCTGCTCGCAGTCCAGCATGATACCAACCGAGTTAATAGGGCGCCCAGCGCAAATGGGATTACATTCACTTTGCCTACCATAAGGGATGACTATACACTACGTAAAACCCTATACTATACTATACCTATACACTACGTAAAACCCTATACTATACTATACCTATGCACTACGTAAAACCCTATACTATACTATACCTATACACTACGTAAAACCCTATACTATACTATACCTATACACTACGTAAAA